AGGCAATCTCCAAGAACTGGACACAACTGAAGGGGGGGGGGGGGGGGGGAAAGAGAATCCAAATTTTATTATCATGATTGAGAGAGCAAGGTCACATTGAATTAAAAAAATCCTATAGAAACAAGATAAGAAAGTAAACTACAGATAATTGATCACATGAATATACACACACACAAACATGTATGTATTTAGTTTTATTGTATTTTATACTATTTTTATGGTATTTTAATTAATATTTATTTGTTGTTTTTATTGTAAGCCATCCAGAATCACTTCCTCCTGAGATGGGCGGTGTCCAAATTTGAAATATAAATAAATAAAATAGATAATTACATTTTCTTTCATGGGAATGTGGTCCAGTGACGTGCAGCTCCTTCCCACACCACCGCCAAAGATATACATCAACTTAAGACCTATCATTCCAATGTACACTTTATTACTGGTCATAAATGTTTATGGCAGGTTGAAAAGCATGTGGCCTACCAAAATAAAACCAGCTCTCAGATTATGTATTCTGGCTCACTATTGGTCTCATAAACCTCTTTTGTTTCAAAGTGACAAAAAGTGTGTTATCAACCTTGGGAAGTCTCTGATCTGTTTGATTTTCCCTCATTTGAAATGTTAAATTGTCAATCTGCTCATGCTAACCATCCATTAAGATGTTACAGTGTTTAATTTAGCTGTATTTATATCTGCACTTCATAACTTTTATAAGCATTTATACTTAGAATCGGTTTATAATACATTTTTGCATTATATTTAAGAACTTGATGAATCATGTAGCATGCATATAAAAAGCAGAGATATGCATAAAACGAGATATATTTTGCTCCAAACATATTGTTTTTCAGAAGTTGTAATGGTATGGGGGAATGGCTTTGGGAGACAGGGAGAAGAGACTCAGCCAAGGGAGTGGTCAGATAAAAGGCAACTTAGACCACAGCAGGAATGTGGGTGGGGCAAGCAGCTCAGAAGGGACCCTCCCTAAGTTTCTTGGGCTGTAAAGGGGATGGGGGGAGAAATGTATTTTCAGACTTGCAAGATTGATCTCAGACTTGCAAGGTAGACCGACAGGAAGCACAGACAGATGAGCTACTTCTACTTTATTCTAAGGTTACATTAACAGAATATTATTAATGTGCCACCATCACACCTGGCATGCACAAATTCAGAACAGAAACATACCCAACTGTCTATCCACACCTTCCCCTGATCTTCTCACACCTACCTTTCCCTTATCTCCCTTTAGCCACTATTATGTATTACATACCATTTCCTTGTATTATATTCTCTTTCTCTTATTCTTCCCATCTCAGAACACCTCTGCCAGAACATCAGAACCAGGTCCAAACAAAACATTCATATTCCAGGTCTGTGGGTGGCTGAAACAAACCTGTTTCAGACTGGGCATGGACTGCCCAGAACTGTCTGTTCTGTGCACAAAACAATTCATGCATGGTACATTTTTCACATCTCTAATAAAGGTAAAGTCTCAGTCACATCAATCTTGATTCCTGGTGATTTCACAAACATGTTCATGTAGTTTACTTGGTGATAATCCTGGTGTTCCCTTATTTTCCATCTAAGTACTAACCAATGCTGCTTAACTTTCAGGCCCAGACAAGATCAGTCAGGTGCTGCCATCTGCTGAGACCTAATATATATATACCTACTAAAACAAATAAAAAACTATTCATAAACCACTAATGCCCTCTCTCTGCATCTCCACCCCACTGCTGAAGTCTGAATATGAATTGGGACACCCAGGGTGACTGTTTCTAAAATATTTTGTACTTAAGAGCAGAACACATGATTGTCATCTGTAATTTGGCTCTTATTTGTTATTTTTAAAATGCTTCCTGGATTCTTACTTTAGTATCATGGCTGTCTCTCAGAGAACTACATAAGGAGATTGATAAGGAGTCAATACATAAATCCACATACAGAAAAAAGATATGCTGTTAAAGCTGTTTAACATTTTTCTGGATACTATCTTTTTTGTCATCAGAAGATGGTACATTGTAACCCTGCTTCCATGGTAAGCATAAATGGGAACTCCTAAAGGGATTAATACCCCAGCAAATGAGTCCTCAGAGAATTAGATTTGGTCCTAAATATATCCCGTATTGCATATGGTTAACTCCCTTCAGTAAACCGTGACATGGGAATAGCAGAATATGGGGTTAATTAATCCTTACTTCTCTAGAGATTAACACAAAGTCATAGAGCTCTTTAGACATTCTATCTCTATGGCTCTTGTTTTCCAAACCCATCCACAGCAGAAATGGATGGAAAGTAAGGCCCCCTTCAAACCTGTTCATAATGGCACTTACCCTGACTATACAAGTTATAGATTTCTTTCTTTCTTTTTCCTCACTTCAGCTTCAGTAGAAAAAGAAATGCTAAACCAGTGTTTCCCAAGTTTGGCAATTTTCAAATGTGAATTCAATTTAGCAACAGCCATCTCACTGGGGAATTCTGGGAGTAAAAGCTCACACATCTTGAAGTTGTCAAGCTTGGGAAAACTGTCCCACTAAGACATAAACTGTGCCAGGGGAAGATGCCCTGAGTGAGACAGAGTTGTAATGTGGTCTCAAATTAAAGTTTTGTTGTTGTTGTTTTCTGTTTGCTAGCACCATGCAAACTGTTCAGTAAACACTGAGAAGCTTCTTGCATAATTAAGATATTTGGAAGCAGGCATGTCTATCTTGGGAGGAAAATATATAAAGGAGAGTTCTGTTAGACAATGGAGGGTTTTGTTTGTGATTATTGGGCATTGCTGGCATTGTGTTTATGCTGTGTAGACTGGATGTGCTATGTGAATCCAGGTATAGTTTGAGAAGGAATCTGCAGCTGAGGACCCAGCAAGAGCAAGCAGGATCTGGAAGAGATTTGCAGAGTGGACTGCTGCATTAGGAAAGGACAAGCTAGACTTCACCAAGGGCAGCTTGACAAAGGTACTGGAATTCCAAGAAACTCAGGAAAGAGTTATTTTTCTTTCTTTCTATTCTCTTCTCTAGGCTAAAAGCAAGCTCAAAAGTGAAAGTACTGAAGCTGTCTAACAGAGTGGGTATGTCAAAATTAGCATAAGAAACAATCTGTGTGAGTCAGGGAAGAAAACAGTTAAGAAACTGAAAAAAAAACTCTGTAAAGAAATGTCTGTATAGAAATGTTTATATATTAGAAATAAGGACAAATTGTTTACTTTACAGTTATTTACTGTAACAGTAAAAATCATCGTAAGTTAGAGACGAACAATGTGTGTCCCTAACCCTAACCCCTTTATGACACCATTGTTGGCAAACCACAAACAAAACATATTCTGGCTTTATGCAATGTACAAACTCAGTCATAAATAAACCTATTTCTATATGAATGTTAATTATACTTAAGTATATTTACTGTAACAATATTATTAGATACTAACATCTTCAACAATTTTTTGTCTATGATGTGGCACTATTTCACTGGCTTCACAAGTCACCAATGGTATCGTAATTATATATGGATGAAGAAAATACAATTACCTTCATATTTAGATCCATCTGGATAAATAAAGAGCCCATTGCCATGTTTTTTATTTTCAAGGTATTCTCCAGTGTACCTTGCACCATTTTTAAATCTGTATAGCCCCTGAAACATATGCATTACAGATATGCTCTATTACAATGCCTATATACTAGGAAAATGACCTAATACAAAACAAGTGGAATGTGCAACAAAATATTGTACAATGGACTGCTCCAGTCATGCCATTGTGCTCCATCTCTTTTTTGGGTTTTCAGGCAGCATTCTATGCTCATTGAGCATGCTCAGATCTCACTTGATTTTGGGATTTTTCTGTCCAGCGGATCTACAGGGGGAGCCAGAAGGCCAAGATGGCAGGAGTGACAGTATGATCAAAGCACTGTTCCTTTATATGTACATCAACATCTCATGCACAAAGGGGCAGGGCTTCAGTCATGTGACTGTACCCATCATCAAGTCTTTTTGGCTCCCTCTAGCTCTGCAATTAAGGGGCTCCCCTCCTAAAATTATTTTGTCTGTCTGCAAACAGAGTCATTTGGAGTTCGGTGGCGTACAAATTGAATTTAGTAAATAAATAAACGAGCAAACATTGAGCTTCCCTGAAGCTATTGATCCTTCTCTCCTGTTCTATTTTGGCTAAGAAGATGCATTTGGAGAATGAATTTGTTATTAGTATATATAATGGGCACATTAATTCCAAAATAAATCTTACCTTTCCATTTCTTTTACCATTTGCATATTCTCCTTCATAGGTATCCCCATTGGGTAATCTGGCTTTCCCACGTCCATGCCGTTCACCAGCCTCATTGCGTTCACCTTCATATTCCTAGTTAAGTAACAATAATAACTATACTGTCCTTCAGAAGCTCAACCACGAAAATCTTACTTCATTATAAGAACCACCCTGTAGGTAGGAGGAGCAGAGAGATTCTGATTTGAGCAAAATCACCCAATGAGCTTCATAACCAAATGGGGGTTTGAATTTGTGACACCTTGGTCCCAGTCCAATATTCTAGCTACTATGGGATCACCAAAATTATTACTTAGCTACAGTTGATACATATGCTAAACATTAACATATTTACAGAATTAAAATGTTTCACAGCAGTGTTTACATAAATGTAGGAATTGCTTTATAGTGAGTCAGACCACTAGTTCAGTACTACGCTATTATTAGACTATAATAAGTTTGTTCAGTACTACACTACTATTTCATTGCAACAAGTTTGATAATTTTTAAGATCTCACCTTGTTTTTGCTGCCACAAACACCATTACTCCTCTGGGAACTTACTAGCTTCCCAGGTTTCAAATAGGGATTGTTCCTGTTGCTAGGAACTGAACCCAAGGCCTTCAAGAATGCAACTCATGTCTTCTGCAAGTAAAATGCAACCCCTTCCCAGTTAAAAGCAATGTGAAAAACATATTGGTTTCCTTATTTTGAATCTTTAGAAAACTAATAAGAAAAATTAGGCAGCCTTTTTTGTTTTACTTTAATATGCACCTTTTAAAGAATATATTGCCTAAAATCTTCTGTGGTTTAATACAATATTCAGGCAACTTGTTGCCACCCCAATTTTTAATTATTTCTGCATTGGTTTGTATCAACCTTAGCTTACAATTTATGGTGACTGGTATTTGTCTTTTCCGAATGTTCCTATCGTTATGAAAATATGCACGAATCTAGTAGAAAAGAAATTCGTCGATAAATTCACCCTGAAAAATATCAACTGAAAAGATGTCCAGCCATGCGGGCTTTACTCAGAAAAACAGTTCCCGTGGAGTGCTTCGCATCTAGGACTTCTGACTCAGTCATATTCCTCTGCCCCGTTGTCATTTACAGCCAACCCCTTCTCTTTATTCGCTCCCCATCCCCACAGACCCCACTGACCCCTAAATCATTCTCTGCCTCTTCTTCGATCTCTTCAGAGCCAAGATCCGACATGCTTCACCCAGCTATATCACCATGGAAACGGCGTTCCCAATATAGACACCGCCCCCTTTTCAGCGTCTAGGAGGCGGTGCCTCTGAAGCAGAGTCACCGCGGCAACCCGGTGCTGAGCGGTGAGGTTTTTCCCTCCCTTCCCTGTGTCGGTTACACGTTGTCCGTTAGACGCCAGGAAGCGACTTTGGCAGCACAAATTACAGCCAAGCGTTGATAGTGCCTTTAGCGCTGTTTGTTCCTGCGCACGGTTGGGAACATCCCATTGCAGTTCCTCTGTAGTTCAGTCGGGAGGCGAAGAGTCTTCAATACGATGCTCTTCAGGGCAACAGCTGTGCACAGCTGAGATTTCAGCATAAATCCCCAAGGTTTTTATTCAGTCCCGTTGGCCTCTGTGTAGACTTCCTTGTGTAGCTGTATTTAAGATTTCTGCCTCGGAATACTCTTATAATATTTTAAACAACTGAGGGTAAACTCACATGCTTACAAGCTTATCATGTTCCAAAACTGACTCTTACACCTGAATTAAGAGTGTAACTAGTACTTTCCAGTAAAAGCATTTCATGCGCATTTCTAATTGTAGTTCTAACAACACTCTTAGGTAAGTATCATTATTATAGTGGTAGGATTCATTTGTCATTTATTTATCAAATTTATACACTCATTCATTATACTAAGCCCTACTGGCACGTGCTTGTCTTAATGCATTGTGTGAATCCACAATTATGGCTTGTAATTTATGGAATAGTATGTTGTCAGTTGTTATTAATTTAGCTAAATATGCTTAAGCAAACTAGGGCTTAGTGCAATATGTGAATCTGCAAGTGCCAAGAGTGGTTTACCTAAGGCACCTAGAAGTAGAGGCAAAAATCCAGGCTGATTTCTAGCTCTATTTCATATTCACAATCCTATGGTTTGTGAAATAAGTCTCACTGAGTTAAAAAGACAGATTCAAAGTGAGTGTACATACTTTCACAGTATTGCAATTACCTTAACATTGTTCAATATTTTTACACTGAATCCTATTTTTTTCCCTCTGCTCTGTACCACCACCACCATTCTATGCAGTTTGGAATGAGATAGCGCATTAAAAGCTATTAAGAGTATTGGAGTAGTATCATTCACTGGCCTTTGTCTGTGGTGTAAGGCAACAATGCAAAATGGAAAGGAGCATATTAAGAATGTAGACAGAATCTTTTGGAGGTTTCCCAGGTTTATGGGGAAAGAGTCTGGGAGTTTTTTTAAACGCACTCTACAAATGTTGTGTGCTTCAAGGGAGCTTTCAAAAATAGGGTGAAAATAGCTATTTTTGCAATCATACAGGATCTTAGGCAGCAGCCAAAAGGAAAAGCAGCGGGGGGGGGGGGGGGGGGGGGCCG